TCTAGTTGGTCCATTTCCTGTAATTACCAATGTGTCATTCGATACATAATAAAATAGATGGTGTTTGGAGGACGGAAGGCTCTGTAAGGCGTATTCTTCAAATTCTGCGCACTTCGAGGCTGGGTTTCTCCAATTTTCATTCTTACATTCTGCTCTCCCTTTCCCTTTAAGCATATTAGAATCCTTATCTGTAATAGGTATTTATAAATGAATGAGATATATATTTTTTTTTATTAAAATACTCAATAATGTCAATTATTTTGTAAATGCACATTATCTTAAAATATAAGCCAGAGTTCATAGTTATTGAAAATATGTGATAGCTTGATGTGGCGATTTATGGTAAAAAAAACCTGCTTTATTATCTTCGCAGACATGGCGTTCAAGAATTTGGGTTGTCCTTTATTTAGTCCATCTGTGAAGTACAAAGACCCTTATTTGTGAGGTTTATACTTGGTCCTTCCTGACTCCTGGGGAAATTTGCTCTTTACTGCTAGATGCTGCTATACTAGTTGCTTACTGCCTTACTCTGTTTTGCTTATTTGATGAAAACACTCCTGCTGGCGTTGAAACGCGAAATTAGAGGGGACAGTCATGCCATGAAACTAAAAGTGTGCATCGTGGTGGGCTGATCGATTATGGCAAAATCCATATCAAGCGATTATTTCTGCATATTGATATCACGATTTATTAATACGATTATTCATTGCTTTGAAACTAATTTATTGACTTAAAAAAAGAAAAAAAAAGTTGAACAGTATCTTTTTACAGTTGATACCCTGACTAAGTATAATCACTGCAAGTATTCCGCTGAGCACATCTTTTTCACTTCCCTCGGCTTTGTCATATAGGGCAGGAGTGCAGTCTGGTGATGATTGCCGGATGGCATCGCGTACGCTTGTCCATAGTGTGCCGTTGCTTAAACCCCTGGGGCCGTATTCACAAGCATTTTATCTTACGCTAGGAAGTTCTCTAACTCGCGCTAAAAATTTTATGTACGGAGTTTTTTCTTAAAAGTTATCAAAGCGTGAGCTACTCATACTAAGGATAAATTAAGAGTGAACTAAGAGTGACGCGCCGTTGCTATGGATTGCGTCGATCCGTGCATGGTTTAGAAGCGGTCGTGGTGATTGTGTGTTCAGAGTAGGCGGTCTCGGTGAAACCATACGCAACATCACAAAGAGCCCACTAAATCACCGAAAACAGGAATAGCCTAGGCTGAAATGTATCTCCTATCAAGAGTTATGGCACGTGCAGTTAGCAGAATACCCATTGATGACAAGTTTGGTGCGACCACGATAATGACGTTGTATAATAACGTTAAGGAGAGGCAACAATAAAATACGTAAATGCAAAATTAAATCCGGGGGCACTTAGCATCCTGCAAATAACAAAATCATTATCAATGAGCTATTTTCCCAGCACTTAAACACTTTCAATAACAGCCATACGCGATTCAGTCCCTATCATGATCAATGGAAACAATCTGCGTGTTGATGGAATGTATTTCTTTCATAATTGCGAACACGTCTCATCTTTTGATGGCGCAATATTTTATATGTGCGTCCCGTCTAGCACCGGCTACCTGCATTGCCATGAAGTTGGCTTTGATCCTGTGTAGTTGTTGATTGTCCAAAGGAAACCGGATAAACTGTTGGATGATATGTGGTCTAGAGAGCGCGTTGATGGTTTGGTTTATGGCACGGCTGACTGATGGTTGCGATATTCCTAAATCGTCGGCATTGCAAAGTTGCATTTTCCCTGTTGCTAAATATCGTAGTGTTGCCAAACATTTTATTTCCGGACTAATCGGGTTATTCCTGTTAGTCGGGGATGTTATTGCATCCCGCACTAATTCCACAACAAGTTTGATACCCTCACGATTTAGCCTATATCTCTTGATCAATTCACATTCTTCCATTGTCTCCAAAACATTTCGTCTCTCAGCCATTTTCAGATTCTTTGTGAATAGGTCTTACTGAGTTAGGAGTCCTCTCGAGGACTTTTAAGCTCTCCCAGACTTAGGTGCTACTTTTAGGCCTAAAATACTTTGTGAATTGCTCTTAGTGAATACAATTAGGAGTCCTAAATTTAAGACTGACACGCCCATTATGTTTAGGAGTTTCTCCTAAATTCGCCAGTTAGGAGCTACTTTTAGCCCTAAAATCCTTTGTGAATACGGCCCCTGGTTGCTAACCATGCTAACTGGGCACATATCTATAGCTATGTAGAATGTGATGGCATGTGTTATATCTTTGTGTCTTTGCGAGCTGGTTGAGTAGGCCGTTGCACTGTAAAGCGCAACTGAATTGATGACGTTTAAAAAAAAAGCGGGCTGAGCCAGCCGTCTGATTGTCCAAAACACACAGATGGCCAGCCGCCCCTGCTGCACTGTACTTTCTTTTGTTCCACGTCGGACTCCTTAAACCCAAAGTATTTCCAAACAGCGGAATTTGTTTGACCTTTCTTGGTCACAAGTTGCTCTTGTTCTGCCATCTGCCAGCGCTGAACTCACACAACTATTGTCACTCACAACCTGGCCGAGGGGGCTTTTAGGGCGGGTCGAAAGCGCACGCAGAGAAATAATTGTTTTATTTCGATTACGTTGTTTTCGTAATCGTTGCAAGCCAAAATCGAGATTAAAATACAATTAATTGCACAGCTCTAATCGGTGGGTTTGTCTCTCAAAAGCTGGATCCCCTTTCACACAAAGTCAAGTGACCCGTTGTTAATAATAAATACTGATTATAACAGCTTTCAACTGTTTTATGGTTACACTGTTTACACAATAACCCTCGTAACCCTTGGGAGATGAAGCTGTTGATGTTGTTGCTCTAAAAATGTATTAAAATCCATGACTCAGTGTGCCACAGGTCAACTATTAGTCACTGAGCATGGAGCTGTATTTGGAAAAGAGTATTACTTGAGAGGGAATAAATGATACCCTTTGTCTTTGTGCGTTAACATTATTCAATCAGTTGAACTTTCACATTAATCTTACATCACTTCACTCGGCTCTCATGCCATTATTTGCCACACTGTCTTTATTAGAACACAGTGGAGTGGGTAAGATCTTGAAATAGGTAACATCTATACCTTAAATCAAGAAAAGATTTTGAATTGAATCGTGACCTCAAGAATCAAATCAAATAGTGAGATACTGAAAGATTCACACCCCCAGTGAATGGCTTGAACATACACTAACATTTTACAATGGTGACACTGTTAAGTTATATTTCTGTTCGTGTTTTACTTGTGGTTTAGAGCGACAAAAATCAAGCTGAAGAAATGGTCTCATTTCTCTTTAAGTGCAGATTTTATTTACAACATGAAGGTCTCCGCACCCTGATGACCCACGGGTGGGTTTAATTTACTTTTACTGATTGGACCCTTTTTTTCTCAGAGCTCTGTGCCCTGATGCTTCTTGATCAACATCTCCATCACTCCTGTACTTTTTGTAGCACATTACACCTCAATCACTCTTAAGTGCAGACTGAATCTCACTCCCCTTTTTTCTCAGTGAGGAAAGCGGGATGATTTAGCCTCGGGTTGTAAATTCATGCAGCCTTGATTGTTCTGCACAGAGTTCAATCTGAAGCTCCTGTGGTTTCGGGGGTTGAGATGCTGACCATGTACCACAGCGTTCCCGGTTCAAATCCAGCCGTGAACACTTGTTGCTGCTCTCTCTCCCTCATTTCCTTTCATTGCTACACTGTCACCATATATTAAAGGCTTAATATCTCAGGCTCCTGCTACTGCTGGCTCACTGTCATGATTTACTCGGACACTGTAACAAAGCCATTGTTAATGTTATTACTAACACCTGTGCTTTTCCTATTGCGAGTCAAACTGTCTGCTGTGTAAGTGCCTTTTAAATACTGAAGGCTTCTATATATGGCTGTACCGCTTTATTTATCTATAAATCTGCAGATGGTTTTGGAATTAATCTCTTAAAGTGTTTGGTTTATAAAATGACAAAAGGTGAAACATGTCCTCAATTTCTTAAACTCCAAGATTGTTTTGTCTGTGCAAAATGCACAAACATTCACTTTAATATGGTATATAAAACAAAGGAAAGCAGACATCTGTATTTGAGATGCTGATTTCAGATATCTTTGGCCTTTTTTGCATCTTCTCTACAGTTGTGCTTATTATGGGTAAATGTCTTGTACCACTTTCATTAAAGCGATCACTGATTTCTTAAAAACTATTTCCCCTTTTCAGAAATAACTACCCACCATGTTCCTCACCCTGATGCTTCTGAGGAACAGCATCCCTGGGAAGCAGTGGATTGGAAAGCATCGTCGTCCACGGGCGGTAACGTGGCAGATGACACGCAACACGGTGAAGCACCTGGAGCGTGAGAGGGAGAACGAGTACTGGATCAGCCGGCCGTACATGACCCCGGAGCAGGAGTACTGCCACGCCGTGGAGCGCAGAGCCCAGAACTGGATCAAGATCAAAGAGGCCAAGTTCTGCAATTTCCCCAAACACAAGCGCATCACGGATCATCTGAGTCACCTCAATATCACCAAGACGTGGTCAAGTTAAGGCGATGGGAGAAGGGACTGTCTTCACAATGTGACATATCGTGTGTTTGTGCAAGAAAGCTTGGTTTAATGGAATCAAGATTTTGCATGTCAGTTGAAAAGACACCATGAAAAGTCATTAATCAAGACTCCATCCGCCTCCGTGAAACAAATGTGTAATCTTTTTATGTTTTTGCATCAGTCTGAATCTACCCTGCAACAGGACTGTAATAGCTCCACACTCAGTGATGCTCATTGGATAAAAACTGCTTAACATTAACACACCTGATCTGTGGGTCCTTCTTTCGGCTCTCGTTAAATAAATGGGCTTTCAAGTCTCCATAATTATACGAACTACTCAAGTGTGTTGCATGAGATAAATGTAGGAGGAATTGTGTAAATAGTGTGGGGAGGTTGGGGCAAAATTATGTAATTTTTTACTAAGGGTAATTTCACTTTAATAGATTTGTTCTTACTGCCAGTAAGCCAAATTGTAGCTGAAACTAGACTGTTTAATCCCTTTTGAAGTTAGAAGATCCAGGGAGGAAGACATTTTCAAGGTTCGTGAAATAATCTTACTTCATTATTGGATTCTCAAAATAATACTATTGGCGTTATGGGGAGCTAACGTATGTTTAGAAGAGATACACCATGCTGGGATTATGATACCTTTTACTTTAAGTGCAATGTGCAGGAATTTTGACACTCAATGACAACCTTAGTTTTACTCATGCATGATATTGTGTCAATGGCTTGTCAGATAACAGTTATTGCCATTGCGTTACAACAATTATACATAACTACAGGAAGTTGATTATCCCGCTCTTACTTTCATAACCTTTTTAAGGTTTTTGAAAGCTAGTAGGCATTGGCACCATTTTAAAACACACCTCCTAGCTTTCCAGTAAACTGACTTGGGTATCAGCCTTTAAATAGAGCCTTGAGAATTGGGCAATTTAGTCTTTTATTGATAATGCTTAATCACTGCATGATAACACAAGGGAAATATCCCTTTCCATTGCTGGACCTAAACCAATATGTGCACAATACGAAGTTTAAAAACGACATCATTGCTCATATAGCACACAGAGCCTGATGGGTGTAGCCATCCAGTCTGATTTACACCACCTGCAACATCAGGTGAACCCAGTGAACAAACTGATGGGACATAAAAACACAGCTGTAAGATTATTCTTTTGTTGCAAAGAGTATTTTTAGGGTGTGATGTTTTGAAGGATATTGTCACCAGGAGTTTATTTGAAGTCCGTCTTAGTATGGGCACTGCAGGGTCCAACATATTTGAACAGGATTAATGACCTTGTGAAAAAGTGTGGTCTTTAAAAAGGCCAATTCTACTGCAGGAATTAAAAATCCTAATTTCTCGGTTTTGCTGCACCTTTGGGACACCCATTTCAAGAACCTGAATGTAAGAGACTAATCCATGAAAAATTAACTTACAATCCTCCTGGGTGCTCTGCATGAAGCTTTCCTGACAGTTTTTCTCTGTTTTATAGAGTTTGATACACTCTATACTGAAGATATTAAAGACAGATCACAGTTTTAATCTGCTTTTCCATGCCTGAATCCTGCACATGTCATTTAAGAGATTAATTGTTAGTTAGACAAGGTTTTCGAGGTTTAGGGACTGAAATATTGTGTCACATTTCGCTGGAAATAATCGACAATTTGCAGTCATTTCCTCCTCTGTTGTCTTTGGATTTTTCCTCCTGCCCACCGGTCTTCAAGAAATTGAAGGTTTGCATTAGCCTCTTAAAACCAGAAGTATCACCTAAACCCAAAACAGAAGAATAAGGCGGAATAAAGAGGTGTTGACAAGCGTACAAATCCATCATCTTGTTTTCCTTTTTCTACGACATACAAGATCCTTAATTTTGAATATGGAAATATCAGCAACATTTAGACCAAGTTTCAAAAAGGTAAATGCACAAAGGTTAGTTAGTAGATTTGTGATTTGAACAATATATAATCTAATGTTTTTGAATCAAACTCTTAATCTATAAAGTAACATATCTGTAATTGTTCAGATCTGCAATCTTGTGTAGTAAAGTATACAATATTCCCTTCTTAATGCTAGTGTAGCAGGTGCATAAAAGTGGGTAAAAGTAACTCAATATCTTTCTTTTTTATTTGCCTTAGTAAGAAATGATTTCATCACAAGGCATACAAAACAAAATAAACATTAACTTATAAGAACAGCTTTACACATAATGGATACAACACTAATCCTCATGCGTATATTAATCGTCAGATCTTACCACATTTTCATTGTAAATATCAAAGTCTTACAGTACAGTACATTTATTTTAAAGGAGTCAGTGAATTAGTAGTCAACCCTTTGTTTCCTCCGGCAGATGGCGCTGCAGGTCCTGGTTGGGGCTCCATGCAGTGGAGCAGAGCCCCGACCCCTCCTGCGCGATGCACCCAGGCGTTGTTTTCGTCTCCTGGATGATGAGGTGCGTAAAGAGTCGCCAACGCACCGGGCTGAGGAGGCACACACACATATCTCCTCTGCAAGAGCATCCACGCAGCGCCTCAGGACCGCAGAGACCATGAAGACCAGCGGCAGCTCGAGGAGTACAGATTCACCTGCAGACGACTGAGTGAAGAGGCAGCATGGCAGGGGGTCGGAGGGGACTTGTGGCCCCGCAGAATACTTTTTTGGAGAATATTGTGAGACGGTCCAACGGTAAGGATGAGGATTAATATGCTAACTTGAAATTAAAGTTAAAACTGTAAAACTAAATATATATGGTGCATAGACATGTGCATTAATTGTTCGTCAGCCTGTCTAGAGAAGCCACTTAACTAATTAACGAAATTAGAACAACGATGGAGGCTAATTAGTGATCGAGCCATTACCTTCATGCGCATTTAAAAGTTCGTTATAAACAAAAACTTCAGTGTTAACACATTTCCATTCATTCTAGTTAAAATATTCAGTGCGTTTTCTGACAAATCTCCTGTTCCCAATACGGAGTCCCTGCAGGAGTGCGTTGAGAGAGAAAGCCAGTAACAATCACACATTAGACATTAGAGGTAGCCTTCTACTGATTACATAAAGCCACTGGAAGCCTTCATTAAACAATAAAATGGACCAGAAATATGCAAAAATAATCAAGTGTAATACTTATTCATTTCTAAAAACAAGTTATGTCAGAGTAGATCAGCTTGTGCAAAGACACTAATCCATTTGTTTTTATTCACCACGATTTCCCCACTAGGCTATTGGTTTAAATGAAACTATTACGCTTTTGTTCATATTGTCTTAGATCAGCTAATGCTTTATTAACTATCCCAAGATAAAGGGGTTGGATCTATTTGGGGAAATGGATGAGAATGGTTTAATTGTTTTCACTGTATTGGATTTTATCTTAATTAATAAAAAAAGCAGTTTGAAGCACACATTTCAGACCTTTGTTATAACCAGTGGATACAACATTACATATCACAGAAGGTAGGCTAACCACAATGATGAGTTACTCATGTAACATGTTTATTTATATACTTTATTGTTCACATGTTAATTTTTTTCTTGTTTTGTACCTGAGATGCATGGGATTCATTTATTGGCCAATTGGTGCACAATATGGGGTTCAGAATGTGAAGCAGATATACTACCTATGATAGCTGAAATTTAGCAAACTTTGATAGAAATCTTGCAGTGATTTTGGAAATATGAGTGTCGGTAATCCTTTGGCTATGTATTATAAGATCAATCTGAAGTGACAGGACCTACTGGAGAGTTATGACACTGGACAGCTAGCTGTGAAACTAAACCAGCACACCGCGTACGTTTCTGTCACGAACAACGTTTGGAGACAATTATGGACACACACCAGCTCATTGGCTTGAGCTATAATGATTTCCCTTTTTAATGGGCTATAGTCAAAATTAGGTTTGGAGGTTCTTTCCTATAATGTATAATCGTGTCCCGCAGAGGTATGCCACACAAACTTGTGTGTTTGTGTATACACGTCTGCTCCACATATCTCCATTAAAATGTGTTATGAGAGAAGGGAACAACTTGTGCGGAAAGGGTGAATATGTCTCTAGAGCCAGGCTTTCTTTAGATGAACAGTGTGAGAATCTGAATCCCTAAAGTGAATAATAAATAAATAATAAAAGAAAGGAAAATGTAACCTTTAAAAATAAAAGCACATGCATGTTTTTCCTATGACCTTGGGCGATCCATGGATTTGCGAGGAGTAAATCTCTCCCAAGCTAGAAACAAAAGAGCTAAGGCTATAATCTGCAGGATGCCACTGAGACACAGTGGATTGACACAATTGACTTGTGAGAGACCCAGCGGTGGGTGGGCGTTCACAGACGATGAGATGTTCCCTTATTCCTTTCTTTCAATGTTCAAAATTATAGCGCTTACTTTTCTGTCTCTATTTTGGATTTTCATTTTGGCTCTTTTAGGTCACCGCCTAAATTTAGGTCACTGCCTAAATTTAACTCTACATTAAAACAGAAGTTTGTTGTTACATAATATATGTCTCTTTATGTATTGGAGGGAATGCATATAGGTGCAATAATGATAACTTTGTTCCATTATAGTGTTTGTGAATAAGGCCAGTAAACTAACCTGGGCAATTTACAGGGACCTGCATCGAGCAATTTAACATTTAATTTCACCCATCTTTAGGTTATCAGCACATTGGATGGGTGTTATCAATGGTTATCAGCCTCATGGATAACAAGGAGCCTGCTGCACCTGCTAGTAGGTTTGGACTGAATGGTGGAAAGCAGTAACAAAAGCCATTTAAAGTCTCTATCTATAACTATAACTATGTCATTAATCAATTTGTTTTATTATTTTCCACATCTAAAGGCCAGACTTCCAGCCATGGTGTTCGTGACCAGTATGAAACCCAAACTTAATTTGTTATGACTCATTACAATGAACTCATGTTGAAAACGGCAACAAATGCGTTTCACTTTCACATTTGGGTAGAGGTATGCCCATTTCCCCTCGTCTAAGCAATTAGAATGATAACAACTGAATACGGTCGGCCATTTGGCCGTATTCAGTTTTTGATCACCTAACATGCTGTTTGTCTCAGTGAAATCGGCAAAACCTACATCTTGTGGGTCTTGTTAATCCTATGTAGCTATATGGTGATGTTTATTCAGAGGTGGAAATGTTGAAAGGTAAGGAGCAGCAGGAGAATGTGAGTAGGAAGATAATGAAGGCAGTTCATTTTGCCGGTGAAGCAACAACTATTATGAACAACTAATTGACTCTGAGGGCTCCAGTTGTGCACTATACTGTGGTTCTGCTACACTACCCTTGTCACTACTGCATATCCACAAGGGACCCTTTAAATTCAATTAAACCTGCATTTACTAACTGTGGCAACTTTAGGGTTGGCTTAAAGTTGCAAACACAACATTGACATCTCACCTTTTAAGTTGACGAAGCAATATTGGCATTCATTGAAGTTGTGTGTCTTGCCAATTTCAAGTCAAATATTCACTCAATTTCAGCTGTGTTTTGGCTCTCTTACCACTCCTAAGGGAAATATCTTTCTCTTCTCTGTCTCTTTAGCTGATAAATGCTTCAATATGTTTACCAGCTTGTCACTTACTGTCCCTGACTGCAGTTTGCTGCTGAGCAGGTAGGGTACAGTGGGATTTAAAGCCTTTTTTCACTGAAAAGAGCTTCCTGCTGCAGCCAAAAGTAACCCCATGGGTGCAAGAGTGAACCAAAATAGTTAAGTTGCGGCCCAACAGCTAAACAGTGAGTTGAAAAAGCCAATTAAATACATATTATGTTGATTTACATTGATTCAAATGACTACGTTTTGTAGTTATTTGAACTTTGTAGCTCTATGGAGAATTTTTGCGTTGCTTAGCTGATTATTTTGGCCTTTCCAGCATTAAAATGGCCGACAAACAAAGTTAGCGACTACATTAGCTTAAGACGGCTGAATATTAGCGGCTAAAGAGCAACGTTTCTTTCAGAAGTTGGTAAGAAAGCTATAAGAAGAGTAAATATAAGACCTACATTCATCTGTTGGCCAGAAAGATGACTTCAAATGAATGCCAAGTTTCACCAAGTGTGCTGCATGTAGCCTAAGTAACTGTATGCTAATGCGTTAGCCGCAACAAATAATGCTAGCTGTGTCAGCTTGTTTCTGAGTTGATCTGCCCCTTAGTGGCTCAAAAATTATAAATACATCTTTAATTATTATAAGTCTACCTTAATAGTAACACTTATTTCTTTTGAGCTTACGTTTTTTTTACGAAACAGCTGTTATTCTCACGTTAGATAGCGATAAACAGTGAGGATTGCCAATTCACAGTGTTGTGTTTATGTTTTTGGTTGACACGTCCATTCTTTTTTGTCTGACACTCAACAGATATTTCTCAATGTAATCTTTTAACCTTGTTTCTTTTTCAAATATTTCAGTTTGGACACTGTCACATAAACAGACAGGTACTATACAGTTTAGTTTGGTGTGCTGCTTATGTTTTCTTGACAGTATCTTTCTCTTTGTAATGTACCACTAAATGTTCTATACCAAATGATGTTAATTTACCAAACACTTAACTAACTAACTTAACATGTTAAGATTAATACATAATTTAAATGATATACAACACAGCAAATCCAGGGCTGATTATAGTACTGGAGCTTTGGACTTTCTTTAAGTTTAACATTCATCTGATCATTGTAAAATAACACGTTGGCATGGAACGTCTCGTGCTTCATATTTGTCGTATATTTGTCGTCAGTTTTCTCATGCTTGTATTTGTCATTTCAAAGTGTTTTTATTTGGTGTTGACTGAATATTTATGTAATATGGGAAATGCTATTTCTATGTGTTTTGTGCAAGGTGTTTTTAACTCCTTCTCCTGCTCTTTCAACCCCGTGTCATCACATTGTTGTAGTTTCTGCGCAGCTTTGGGAATTTCCATACAGGTTTTATTATTTTTTTTGGTTTTACCCCCAGTCATCATCACATTTACTTTCCCATTTAAAGCCAGTACATTTTCCCTTTGTTTTCCTTTTTATTTGCCAATTTTATGTGAATGGATATTAGATCGTTTTACTTTTAGATATGTTTAAATGTCAAAAAATAATCCTGGAAATCAATCTACCGTACATTTTTTATCCCAGGAATGAACATACACAAATAAGTTATGCACATTTTGGTATTGATGGTATTTATTTGATAAGAAATATCAAAATGGCAATAAACAGATTAATTTGTCCATGAAGTCTTGCACAATTGTCCTTAAAGTACCACTATACTGCTTTAAAAGAATGTTACATTTTAAGCTTTAGTATTTTCATGTCTAAATTACACTCATAATCAGTTGCATGTTTTTACAAAGCAAAAACTGAACAGTGGAATTATTTGCATATTTGTTTCAATCATACTTAATCCAAAAAGCCAGTAACCAAATCCGCTGGCATTTTCCTTTTAGTTCATGAATAATGACATTTAAGAACAAATTGGAGTTTAAGTAATGACACAGAGTAACAATAGTTGATTAGGTTTTGAGAAAGGCTGAAGCAAAATACAAATGATTCAATGATCACTTAGGTTTATTAACATTTTCGACCATTCATATCTTTTGCTTGAAGGCTTTGCTAACATTTGAATATGCAAAATGTGCCATATGAGAATTAATGTACTCTGTTTTCATGACATTTAAAAATCGATGACTGCGGCTATGAATATTTGTAGACTATACTGTCCAATAATGGAAACCTAATTACTTCATACTATCAGCAATAACTCAGACTATTTAATCACAAACACAAGTACTCACTTGTTTCTCCCAAAAACTTCTGAAAGCTAAATTACTCTCAGTCTACATAGGAAATGTAGAATCCCAAGATATTCCTTCAAAAATGAACAAGGAAATACTAATAAAAACGTCAGGTAGCAGATGTTCGGATGTTTACTACATAACAAAAAAAATCTGTTTGGCCTACATTTATGTGCCAGTGCCCCATGTGGAGTGTGTAATGTGCCGTAGACCATCATGGACATAATGAAACTCTTTGGTGTGAGGGAAACATTACAAAAGAAAATATGCATTTAAAGACATTTGTTAAATAAACATTCAGCAGTATGAAGGAAAGTTAAATCATTAGTTTTGAAACCGAGGAATTTGTGTCAAGAATCTGTGAAATATTATTTTCAACAATAACACATTTTCAAAGATAGGCACACATTTTTTTATGCCCCAATATTTGCTGTTTAGTTATGTCCCGTCATTCTTTGAAAACTCTTGCAATGTTTATTTAGTTGCAGCTCCACAAAATCTTTGACTTTGATTTAGATTGGAAAACCTTTTCCCTACCCAAAACTACTTTGATATTGTTGAGTTTTTAGGAAACACTCCAACCCTTCAAGTGTATTCACCCTTCATTCATGTTCACTTCTAAACAGATACCAACTTTGTCCTGGGAAACGCTCAGATAGTAGACTGGCCCATCGTCTACAGCAACGATGGTTTCTGCAAGCTGTCGGGGTATCACAGAGCAGAGGTGATGCAGAAAAGCAGCACCTGCAGGTAGGAACAATGTTTACAGTTCACAGAAACTGATGAGAGCATATAAAACACAACTTATAAAGTAAAGTTTACCAAACTCTAAAGACTTACTATACGATACTAACACTTTTTATATTTCGCTGTATTAGATATAAGTTCAAGATTAGCCAGTGACATTATAAGAAGTCGTTTTGGCTAACCTACAGCTGTCTTTAATCTAGATGAGCCTCATCTTGGCTGGCAAAGCTAAAATAATCATGCTATTGCTAAAGCTATACAACAGTGTCAGATAGAGCAGGGGTTCCCAAAGTGGGAACCCATCTGGTTCGCGAGATGATTACAAAATAAAAATGGAAAATTAAAAAAAGTTATTATTATTAATAATAACGTTAGCATAGACATTTTTTTCTTTGACATACCACTATCGCAGTGTTTCTCAAACCTTTCCTTTTTTTTCCTGAAATTATTTCACTAGCACCCCCCACCTATAAGTTTTTTTTTATCTTAAAAGTGCCTGCAGTAAAAACTGTGTGGAGGTTTCATTTAGATCCCTGTATCACATATAGAAATAGACTCTTGCTGCAGTGTTAGGTTTCTTCTGAGAATTCAATAGGTTTATGTGTGCCACTTTCAATGCTATGTATCTTTTTGAGTGTGTTTGTATTTGCACTTCTTAACACCAGGCGGAGCATCCTTATTTAGAGGTAATTGGTAGAGAGAGAGTTATTCGAGGATGATAACCGGGTGCAGGTGTGTGCAGCTCTTCACTTTGCTCCAAGTTCCCTGTGCCAGTGCGTGTTTCATGTCTGTGGGTTTCCTCTATGGAATATTTTGGCTTATTTTAAGAGAAAGGGATATGATGCTGAACGTTCTCATTGCACAAGTGCAGTGTTTTCAGATGTGATTCTCGTGCATAATGCCGTATTAATTAGCAGAATGAATGATGAGCTTATACATCAGCTGCTGAGCAAAATGTGTTGGCAATGTAAGGGCTGATATTAAGATGGTATGATGTTCACCCTGTACATCATGTGAGATCAGTGTGTTGACATGTTGATATTTGATAATGAGCATTAAACACAAAATACAGCTGATGTGGATGTTATTAGTTTAGCAGTTCTTTAGCATTATGATGATGGTACCAGATAAAAAAAGCTAACAATGCGGCAGGAATGATTCTGAGAACCTGGAAATTAGTAAAAAAATGTTGCACTTTCTGTACCCTTGTTTTGAAGTCAATGGGGTTTTTGAATGGGTTTTGTTGAAGCTTTTAAGTGTCTTAAAAAAGGCTTTTGCTATGAGACTACGACAACGTCATAATGCCGAACAGTATTCAATCTTTATCTCAGTGACGTTGAAGGCACGAAGTGTAGTTCTAAAAATAATAGCGTTCATTTGTGAAAATGAGTTGCTGAACCAAATAATTTCAATATTGAAAATGTTTGTTTGCAACAGAGCTGATTTTCTGCAATCATCCAAAATTAAAATCACAATAAAGTATTCTATATTGAAAATAACAAGAATACCACTCACAATAAGAGTTAATGCCATCACTTCAGTAAGACACCTAATTAGTCTTTATTTATTTCAAAGAAAGAAACCAGATGAGTAAAACAGTATTCTGTGATGTAATCTGTGATGTAATCTGTGATGTAATCAGGTTGTAACAAACTGAAACTATAGCAATAAAAGGGAATCTAAAATGAGTAGTATACCTATTCAAGTGAGTACATTCTGGTCTATTTTGTTTATTGTGCTGGTAAAAGCATGCCAGTAAGAACTATATTAATAGGATCACATGGAAACAGTTGGTGCTGCCAGGATCCGTGGGAGATTTCTTGTGTTGTGGGAGATGGCGTTTGTCACAGCCAGCACTGCGGCTATTACTGATTTAGACCCCCGGGTCCCTGAGCATAAGCTTCAGAAGACTTGCCAATACAAATATTGAACAGAGTGTGTGAAGATTAATTTTAGGATTATTTTTAGGTTGCGGTGTGGATCACAGTCTTGTTGTTTGTAAGAGGAAGGGAACATACTTAAGCTCTATTGACTGTAATTGAGATCCAAAAGAAAATATTTATACTTTTTTTTATATGGTTTTGAATGTATAAATATCACCATACACTTCAGTAAATAACAGTTTACTTTGCAGCAAGGCAAATAAGCCCTTGTAGTTTTACTGGAAGTGACAGGCAACATACACATTGTATTTGAGAGCACATTCAATGACAGTAAATAAAATCAGAAAACAATCATATTTTATTAATAAGCACCAGAACTTAAAATGAATTAAAGAATCAATTTATTTTCAATTTTGATTCAAGCTAAATTCTCCAAATTACATCTGCCTCTGTTTTGAAATATATTTTGGTTCCTTTCAGATAAAGGTTTATTATATGTGTTATACCTGTTTGTCCTGTCTAAACATGTTGAACTAAGTACTTTTACTGAGTACCATTTTGAGGTAGTAAAAGATCTTCTTCCAACACTGAATGTGGGTTATTTATAAGTAGGTTTAATAGGTATAATTAACCACTTTTATTATTAAAATACACCTCTATGCCATGCAATCATTTGGTCTTTTTGAAAAATGTTATAAGTAACCACAATAATACAGAAATCTGACATGAGTGTGGGCTTCCAGCAGAGCCTCATCATGATTGTTAATCATACAAAATTAAAATAACATAGATAACTAGTAAACTGTTTGTATCAAATAATCATAGTACAAAGAAATGTACTGAAATGAAAACAACAAAATCTACATATTTCTATCTACAATTATCTCAGTGATGGATTTTCAAATCTAATTTATAAGAGAAAAATACTAATCGGTCAAAATCATAATCTTTGCCAGAGTAACATGATGTTTCCCTTTATCAGCCGGTGCATCTGTCAACACTTTGAGTACATCATATTTTGAAAGAGATACGTTTTCAACGCGGGTAGTAAATGTTGACCATGTTTTGCCATTTTTCTGTGAAGTACCGAAATCTCCTCCAAATTCAATATAAACTCATTCTGGATCCACTGGTTATAGGTAGGAGGGCTCATTTATCTCAGTTAAACAATACAAGAGGGTGCCATTGCATTTTTAAGGAGGCAAGAAAACATTTGGTCTTTCTTTTTAGCGTCAAAAAAACATTTCTATGAGTTTGATAACGAGGCCATAAAACATTCAGAGTGTGGATGCTTGATGTTTCTGAGGATGACTCAAACGTAAAATGTATGCCTATCTCCCCAGAGAGTTCAAGTCTAATATCTCTTCCTCTTCTGCTGCAGATGTGCGTGGATCAAAGAGGTTTTTTCCTCCCCTACTGCTCTGTCTCTTCTCAATTATGTATATGTTTTTTTACATTCTTTACTGGATCCCGTAAACATACAGGGACAAACCTGTGGGAATTGTTCGCGCATGACCAGAAAGTCATTCGAAGAATCGTGTTTTTGTTTTGTTCTCTTTCTTTGAAGAAGGACATTCATCAGTGATATTACATCAAGCACGGTCTGAAGAGCCTGTGCAGCGTCAGGATGTAGTCTCATTAAATTTAGCCGTCCTTTTTTTATTTCATAACAAACTCAGAGTTATATTTAGATCCTGCTGGAACATGCTGCTACTCAGGGTGGCGGTAACAAGCAAAGTGAGATGAATCTCTCCGCACCGTGCTTTAATGTGCTCATGGATGCTTGACCCATCTTCAGGTCTAATTTGTTTTTTAGAGGTGCTTTCGCTAATTATACTTTGGGCTGAATTTAGCTTTTTTATGCCATCAGGATACATTTCATTGAGTTTTAACCCACCTCTACTTCATATTTAATACAGTATAATTATACGATATGTGTCTATAAAGGTCTATAAATAGCACTGGCTGCACAATTTAAGTATAACTATAAATGGCGGATCATTTTGTTGGGAAAGCATACAGATAAATATTAGAGGAAAACGTAGATAAGAAAAGAAAAGGTGTCATCAAAGAAACAAAAGAGCGGAAACAAAGTACCACAGTGTATCCAGGGAATACTTGACGTCTAACACAATATGATAATCACTCATTCGAGCATTTCTCGCCACATTACAGAGCGGGCACGCTTGTCCAATGTGCCGTTGCCTATTAAATATTTAAATTGTTATATCCCTTTGTGTCTTCCAGCTTCATGTACGGGGAGCTCACGGACAAGGACACGACGGAAAAAGTGCGACTAACATTTGAGAATTATGAGATGAATTCGTTTGAAATACTGATGTATAAAAAGAACAGTAAGTCGCAACACCATATGTGAGGAAACTAGGAAAATGTGAAGTTTTCCTCCACTCTCTTGTCATGCAAATGTATTCCGAGCTCCTGTAACGTAGTTCAAAGGAAGCCCAGCACATTTCTACCTCTGTAAAAATGTGCTAATTGGTCCAGAGCCAAACCTTCCTTTTGAATAAATATAGATGTGTGTGTTTCCATCTCCCCCTTCTGCTTGCAGGTGTTACAGGAAAACAAGGGCAGCTTTAAAAGTCCCTTTTGCAAACTGTGCAATCTTTTTTTTACTGTTCGTGAACTCAGTTATTTCCTCCAGCAGTGTGGTACAGATCATGCCCTGAAGCTTTTATTTAATGGGGCCCCATTATGCTCATTTTCAGGTTTTCATATTAGTATTTTGTGCCTCTACTGTGAAGCTCTTCATGATTCTCATACTGCCTGTGCTGCAGCACCTCTTTTCACCCTCTGTCTGAAACCAGAGCCCAGTCTGCTCTGATTGGTTAGCTGGCTTGCTCTGTTGTGATTGGTCAACCGCTTAGATATGTCCCGCCCCTTAGCCACGAATATGTATATTACGTGTATACAATTAGTTGGAGCGCTAGCCAATAGAAGTGCGAGGGTTACATAGTGATGTGACTTTTAACAAAAGTAAACAAAGTAGTCCAATGGAGGCGTTTCAGGCAGGGGGGGAGTGTGTGGGAGAGAAACTCCCTCCTGAAGGGAACTTGGGGACTTTACATCAACAAAAACACTCTTCAGAAATTCCAAAAAGCAACAAATAGGGCCCCTTTAATAAGAGAAGAACCATGTGTTATATATGTTATACATGTGTATATTCCTGTTTAGTATTGTCAATATCTGTTCCACCTTTCCAAATCTGTCATGTTCTATAACCCTGTTGATTTAAAATAAAAACAAACAAATATAAAAATAAGCAGATGATGCAGCTGAATATATATTTCTGTTCTTTTTATACTTTCAGGGACGCCGGTGTGGTTTTTTGTGAAGATTGCTCCAATACGAAACGAACAAGAGAAGGTGGTCCTGTTTCTTTGTACGTTCAGTGACATCACAGCCTTTAAACAGCCCATTGAAGACGATTCCTCTAAAGGTGAGAGTCAACAGGATACATTCGTATAGCTTCATGCCTTTTATCAGAGGAGGTTGTCTCTCTGAATCTCCCAATGAAAGTTATATCTACTCCATTGGGATTGAAATATGTAAAATGCATTTATATGAACACTTCATGGCCCCTTCAATCCTTTCAAATGTGTTCTACATTTGCGAGAGGTAGAGGTAAAGTTTGTTGGCCACCGATCATCATCCAACCCTGTGCATTGTGCATCTGCTCGGGGGAAACACCCACTCAGTGAAATACACAGCCACCATGATGGTTTTCAGCACAACATGACTCACTGGACTGTAAAAGTGTTGCAGACTGCCAAAATAGAACACGGATCAGTGCAACAAAAAACATGCCACAGTGACAGAAACAGGATGTGGAATTTAATGAAATAGAGATTGTAGTTCAGCATCAACAGGTAGCTGCTGTAGAGGCTCTCTCTCTCTCTCTCTCTCTCTCTCTCTCTCTCTCTCTCTCTCTCTCTCTCTCTTACACGGGCCATCGCCTGCAAGCAAAACTAACAAGCACCGGTTTGTGCTGCCTGAATAGAGAGTGGGTCTGAAGTGAGGCAAACACTGCAGTAGATCACAAACACCAGGTTAGGACTGTTGTCTTTTATAAATCATAGAGGCAATCTCTTTTTCTTAATAACAGATGCTTAGTCAAACATTTTAAGGAAAAGGACATTTGTATATAAGATTGCAAAAAACACAAAAAATGAAAACTAGCTGAAAGACACATATAAAGCTTAATTGAGCCAATTGGAAACTGCCTTTAATCTCCTTAAGAAAAATTAACTATACGCATTGAATGAAAAGAGTGATTTCTCCGGTTCTGCTGAAGTGATTTGGATCATTTGTTGACAGGAATGCAATGCTAAATTGGTTGCCTGGTCTTTTTGTACAATCATTAAAAAAAATTGAATACACCAGAAAAATAAATATATATCAGCAGGGATATGATTCATGACCTTGATAAAAAGGCAAATAAAGGTGTGGAGTAGAATAGAAGTTTGTAAATAAAACCTTGATGGATTTTCACAGCCCAGAAACCCCAAACAGGTCCTTGTTAAAGACTTATTGCTGCTCTAATAAACATTAACACTTAACATAAACAAGATCACTTACAGAACATGCTTTTTAAGAAGCTTAATTTAAAGGTCCCATGTCATGGCCATTTCCACTGATCATAATTCCATTGTTGAGGTATACTAAAATAGAAAAATACTGTGCAATTTTCCAAACTCACATTGGTTTCGCATACAGCATCTCTGTAAAGTATGTGTATTCAGCAGTATTCACTTTCTCCACTAAACGGCTCGCTGCAGCCCCCCCCCCCCCCCCTCCCTGTGAGCCCAGTGTGCTCTGATTGGTCGGTACGAATCGCGCTGAGCTCCGTGGAGGTGTGATTTCCTTGTTTAGCGATACACAGCCAAACACAGCCAAACTCAACCTGAACACACACAAAGTCACAGCCGAAATAAAAACAATAAGTGTGGCTTGATATTGAGTAAGAAAAGGTTGATAAACGCTAGTGAGAAGTGGGTCTGCAGAGATAAATTGCCGCGATCCCAACTGTCTGTTATCAGTCCTGCAGCCAGGGAGGAGAAGTCAGCAGAGCTGCCAAAAAAAGTCTAAAAGAATTATGTGACATGTGTTAGAAATCGTAAGTACTAATTTTCCGCCCGAAGAACATCCTTTTGTAGCAAACGCATAGCGAAATTTAATGCGTGGGTTGTTTTTCTACTACAGGCGAGAAAAGAGTGGTTCCGGGTTGGCAGTACCGCACCAAGGCCAATAATAGAAGGCAGGGGCAAGCACACAAGTACTTCCAAGAATAGACGTACATTTGCCACACGTTCTCACGTCTTTGGGGAATCTTCATGGTGGGACATCCGGCCTCATTATTGAGAGAGGGCGTGTGGTTGCGGGAAACCACTTCTGCAGGTAACGTAGGTCTGGCGTTTTTGTTTCTTAACCGAGGGTTTAAGAGGTGGTGATGTATGTTTTGGGAGGTTAAGGTAACCACTGGTAAGGTTTTACATATACATACTAAAACGCATTATGGTAGTACAGAAAGACGTATTACTCGAATAAAATGAAAACCATGAAATTTCATTCGTATCACGACAATTAAGTAGACTTGAAAATGACAGTCATTTTGTTAAACATACACCCCGGTTAATGTATTACTTTTTTTGTGTATATATTTCAATAAGAATGGACCCATGGACGAATTCTCTGTCTAATATGTGTGTCCTGATTTCACTGTCCTCTGTGTAGTGCGAATTATATCCTAGGTTCGAGTGTGTATAAATAAATATAATATATATAATAAATATCTGGTGTTCTCTTGTATTCAATTCGGGGGCGACTAATCCCATTGTTAACTGGTTGAGTGTTGTGTGTGTGTAG